TTATATTTTTAAAGCTGCACTGGGGTGGCATTTAATTTTGTTGTACGAGAAGTACAATGACAATAAAGATTACTACTACTCTGACAATGTAATTCAGCTTTCTCTCATCTAGGATACCCAGATGAGTTGAGGCATTTCCCAGAATGTTCATGGAGAAGGTCAGGCTTGTGTTGTCTGATCGATGATGATGATGCAGCCTGACAGTTATGTCATCTCACATTTTCATCAAAAATGCTTTCACCATCTTTTTAAAAAAGTCCTGTTTAAAAATAGTTGTGATGACCTCTTGAAACAGCTAACTGGAATATCGATTGTGGATACTGTCTCTTTGCCCACAGGGCTGCTATTAGGTCATAAAGGAGTGGGACAACAGTAGCTTTGCCCCTTCTAGCTGCAGTTCGGTCAAGAGGAATCTGTCCTTTCGAGGAGGGAGATTTCTCCAGTTTAACCCACCAAGTTTAAAAACAATCTTTGGAAATATTTAACCTTTAAATACTTACTTGGCTGCTGTTGCTGCTGGGTGCTGAAACCACCAAATCCCAAACCAGTTCCCAAGCCAGTGCCAAGCCCAGTTCCTGTACTTGGTGTTGTTCCAAAGCTGGTGCCAAATCCAAAACCTTTGTTCTGGGTAGCTCCAAACAGCCCTGGGGGAAAGAGAAAGAACATCACCCAAGAAGAAGACTTGCAAAGGGGCAAGCTAATTTCCCCCAACATGCATATACTGTAATCAGACAGTCACCCCTGCACTGGGAATAATGGGCACTTACCCGTGTTCGTAGGCGTTGAGAAACTAAATGTGGATCCGCCTGTGGTGGTCGTTGTTCCAAACCCCCCAAAAGCGCCTAGGAAACCAAATACAAAGGTTAAAAAAAGACCACTTCTTGCAAGGCAATTGTTCAATGATTGCATGCTGGTAGGTATTCAGGAAGAGAGATGGTAACAAACGAATGCTGCTGATGGGATTTTATACTCACACAGTATCTAGATATGAAGTGACAGCAGGAAATAGCCAGGACTATTTCATTGTTAGAGAAAACATACATACATCTGCAACCTCATTTTTTATTTTTATTTTTTTGGAAAGCCTAGTAAAAATATATATTTGCTCACATCTCAAATAAGGAGGTGAGACATTTACCTTAGGCTATGGCCACAGCATAGCAAGATGATCTGCACCAACTATTCAAACAATGTAGAAAACCATTTTACCAAGAGCATTGTAACTTCCGGACCCCAAATTCTGGGCTGTGAAACTACCATGGCTCAAATGAGGTTCTTTCCCTGTCTCTGAATGGCAAATCTAAGGAATCCCCACTGGCTATACTGATGCTTTTGTATTCACCAATGAATGTACCTGAAGCTTATTTCTCTAATAGATGTTACTTCCTATATTTACTAATATCAACTATCAATTTTCTTGAAAGACACAGCATAGAAGAAAAACAACATTTTTGGGGTAGGGATTCCACATCTGATTCGCAAAAATCCTGATGACCATTACACAGAGATACAGAAAGCTTTAACTTTGGGTTACTATCTGGATTTTTGCAGCCCAGATCTTGTTGCTCTGGTTTCTGGACATTTAGAATGGATGGCCACATGCAGGGACAGATACAGAGGTAAGAGCAGGAAGAGGACCAAGTTGCCCTTCTGTTGCCTAGCCCTGTACTGGCCAACATGCTAGCAAAAGGTGCATTTACTCACATATGCTTGCATTCCTTGTGCCTATCAAGGATGGACTTGCCACCATCATTGCGTCTGCATCCTTTGTAGTCCAGGGCAATAAAAACAAGTTACAGCCTCCTGAATTCAAGCTCAATTCCTGGAGACTTCATGAACATGTTCATGTAGTTATCTTGACAAGAACACCAGAGTGATTTATCATAGCTGTCTTGCAGGATATTTTTTCAACGTCCCAGACTAGCCTACAGTTCTTGGTTTTCCAGGTTATCCTCCACCTAAGGACTAACCAGATCAAGCCCTGTTAAGCTTCTTTTCCAGATCAGCCAAAGTAGGCTAGGAGGGAGAACATTTTTATGAAGCCCCACTATATAAACAAGTGGGATGGATTGGTAATTCTGGAATTTTCTTGGCCACAAGGGCAACAGAACTTATTAAATGACTTCTCCCAATCAAGGAAGAAATGCACAGAAGCAGTTTGTTATTGCTACTTGGAGAACAAAACTGCTGAGCCACCTTTACAAGTCCAGTGAACCTATCTCAACAAGTAGCTCAGTTTCTATATGAACTGTAGGGATCAAATCACAGTTCCATGTCCTTTTGCATTTTTCCCTGCAAGCCAGTTTTCCAACAAGATTTCTTTAAAAAAAAAAGACAAGAAAGAAATGCATATTGAGGAAACAATTTCAATGAATCACAAAACAGTGTTATTAGGATTATTACTTGAGGTAGTGATTGCTTTAACAGTGAATATGAACTTACAATACACTGAGTGTTGAAATGTTTGCATATATGGTGCAGAAATGATGGGAACTATGGAATGTATTTAATTTCATATACGAGCAGCTACAACAACCAATACAAAATAAATCTAAGAATAGAGGCAAGCAGAGAAATAATTACTACTAGAAGTCAGCAAAAAATAGATTTTTAACAAATAGTCAGGATCTTTTTAACCAAAACCAGCTGGGGATTTTTTTTTTTTTTGTGCTGATCGTATATAATTTTGTTTTTCCACAGAACCTTGAGAAAAGTATGGTGGATTCATGATGACTGAAATCCAATGAAGAGACATAGGAAATGGAATATATATAAATGTAGCAGAGTCCAAGAATTCAAGAAACAGAAAAGGAATTCCCTTAAAAGATTAACTGTGAAATTGTTTAGCCCACATGCCATGTTGTGCATCCCTATACATGTATTATAAGGTAGCTGGGCTCATCTTGTTTGGGGGGGGAAAAAAAACATATCCCAATCTTGATCCACATGGATCCAAAACAATTTGCATGTCTATATGGACGGACTCAAAGACATACACTGTGAAGTATAACTAATAACATATTTTGCCAGAACACTATATATGTGTGTTTGTATATGTGTATATCCCTTTTTTTCTTTCTCTTTCTTGCATACCTGTTGGAAGGCAAGACTGTGTGCCTTCTTGCTATGGATCTATTATCTGAATGGAAATGTATATCTTGCCTTCACGCTGCATCAGAAGTCAATCTACAGCTCTGCAAATTTTACATTAGCTCTCAGTTGATCAATCTCAATTTC